TCCTGTGGATTCCTCTTTTATCCATCACAACTACTTCACTCCCCCTCCTCAAAGATATGACTCACTCCAAAATTAGTGTTCCTGTGGCAGCCTGGATCTCGTCACTGCGTCACAGGATCTTTAATTACAGGGGCTCTGCCTTTCCCTAGTTCTAGTAACCTGGGGACTCAGTTAATTTTTTTACTCAACTACTAATTTTTTACTAGTTGTTCCCATACCTCTACCCACAACTGCCAGGGAAGCTGCCACACCTCACTATGAGATCTATAAATTTCCTTCAAACAAGATGTGTTGAGCAGCCACTGTGTGCTTGTCACTGCCCAAAAAGAGCTCATGGTCTAGTAGGAAAGACCTACAAGTAAAGAGTTGTGAGTGCTGTGATAGAAGGAACAATCTGTAGAGGGACTGGGAAGGGGGTGCTGAGTATGGAAGAGATGGTTAGCAAAAGATCCATCATGTAGTTAATACTTGACCTGCTTTTGAAAAGAAAATAAGCAAAGAAAAAGAGGCAGAGGAGGAACAGGGAAAGGCAAAGGTAGTAGCAAGGCCGATGGAACTGCCAGTGAGTCAGTAGGTCTGAGGACTGGGTTGTGGACGAGGGAAAGGAAAATGCTGCTAAAGAGAAGACAGGAAGAGGCGATATTAAAGTCAGCTGAAGTTTAGACCACATGCTGGGGGTAATGGGAAACAGCTGAAGGGGTTACAAAGAGATCATGATTTCTGCATTGGAGAGACTGACTTTCTATCAACACTGAGCAGAGTGAGAAGGGATATGGAAAGAGGTAGCAAAGAGTTCCTGAGAACCATAGAACACATTATACAGTCTGAACTGACTCCTCTGTTCCTCTAGGAACAAAGAAGAGGAGGAGATCTGTTGTAGTAGCTGGTTGTTTTAATCACCTCCTATTCATCCTGTTGGAGCAGGAGGGATTCCTGCCTTAGAATTATGCACATGGCCAAACATATGACAAGTGACACTGGCCTAATGAGACTGACAGAAATTTATTAATTACATAGACTTACAGGGTGGAGGACAAGGACACTAAATGCCATGCAGGGCCACATGGGGGTTGCAGTTGGGAACAAATTGAGTAAGAGGGGCATGTGAGGCAGGCTTTGTAGTAGCAAAAGAGTTAAGTGACCCCTGGTTACCATGAAAGGATGTGACTGCCTTCTTTGAATAATTCCAGGGCTGGCAGAGAACTGAAACTCGCTCTTCAAGAATAAGCAGGAACTGTGTCTAGTTCTCTTGATGCGGAGGGTTGTTTGCAGGAGCAGAGTGAGGAGGGAAACTTGTGGTCAGGCCATGTGAGGCCTTCCCAGTCTTACCAGATGCCAAGGCAGCCCATAATATTGGGATTAATTAGGCCTTACACCACAGATCAACCCTTGATGTCTTGACATTAATTTTAAACAAAATTTTGATGGAGGAGCCAGGCTCAGGGGACCCTTGTGATGTTCCACGTGTGGCTTTTGGCAATGGCTGGATTGTATGGTCAAACTGGGGATCACACATGAGAGCCAATGCCCAGCATAACAGTAAAACCACAAACCACAATAAAAGCAAACAGTGACATCTTATTGTTTTGTTTTTGTTTTTCAATTTCTCTGGGGCCTGCGAGATGATTACTGGGGCCACCAGGTCTGGCCAGGGGTGATTCTTTCTGAACTTTCTCTCAGTACATACAGTATTACTTGAGTAGAAGTAAGAAATGAGGAAAAAACTAACGAAATTATTTATCTTTCCTAATCTCTTAACCAACGTATTTCCAGCAGTTTGCTGAGAAGAAGTCTTTTTGAAGATCACGACATCCCTTCATTTCTTGTTTGACTCTTCTGATAAAGAACCATGATAATCTGAAAGGAAAGCATAAACATCTGGAGCGGTTCCAAAGGCACGTGGGGGGAGTCGGCACTGATTTCTTATTCGGGAGGCCTGAATAAAAGCATTTACCTCTCCATTTTCTCCAAATCTCAATGAAATAATAATTAAAAAAAAAAAAAACTAGAAACAAAAACAAATCCAGTGTAGCACTGACTGTCATTGGAATCAGGTATGAGTTGCCTGTTGTTGACAGATCAGAGAAAACAACAAGAATTTGGTAGAAAATACAAACAAAGCTAGGAAAAGAGATTAGTGGTAAAATATAAAAGAGCAGACTTTTATATCTTAAAAAAATAAATAAATAAATAAGTTTCTCTTAGAACTGTTGGCCAAGCCCTAATAGACAAAGTCAGGAATGGAAGATGGGGCAGGTAGAAGGCCACAAGCAAGGGAATTTAATACGGGGTTGTAGAAGCTCAGAGACCATCTGAGACAAAGCCAAAAGGAGTGCTCTATGAAATGGAGATTCCAACACAGAAGAACGAGAACAATGTCCAAGAAACTTGCAACTTGGACAAGACAAAGATGCACCCCCAGATGCAGAAGGCAGCTCTGCAGACCCCATCCTGACCCACATACCTCGTCCTGTCCTACACAAAATCCATGGAGGCAGGGCTCCTGGACCCAGAAGCTGTATTCACTGCTTTTTAAAAGAGTATTGACTCCTCTTCCAGTGGTACAAAGATTTCCTGTAGTAAATCATCTAGTATCAACACTCAAACAATCACTTTAATCTGTAGAATATCTAATTCAAGTACGGCTAAAGTATGCCTAAAACTCTCATAGGAAACTGATGTCTGTAAGTTTATTTCTTAATAAAAATGTATTCTGCATATATATACACGCATACATATATCTCTATCTATCTATATCTCAGGATATAGTAAATAACAGAAAACCATTAAACAGTTACTTATAAGAGCCTATGAGAAAAAGCATCCAACCCCATTTAGCTCCTCAATGATGCCAGCAGGCTACTCCCACCCTCCCAGGCAGCTGTGTCTAAGCATGTAGACCTTCCTCTTTATGCTCCACACCTCGTGGTCCCAAGATGGCTGCTTCACCTCCCTTTCTGTGTCTGCTTCAGGAATAAAAGAAAGGAGAAACAAGGCTTATGGTTTGAATCAGAAAGGGGGGCTTTAGAATAGAGTAGACATGGGTTGGAATCCCCAGCTCCAGCACTTGACAGCTGTATGCATGGATGTATTTACTGTTTCTCCTTAAAAAGGTTTCCTTTTTATTTAAAGGACATGAAATGCCTTTTAGCTGTGCCCGTAAAGACTGAATCTGGCATTGCCTGTGATCCACAGCAGTAGGGTAAGCTCACATCTGGCACATGTGCTAACCAAAATTACCCTGGATAAGTGCATGACTACTCTCAATCTGTTTCTTCTTTCTGTAAAATGGGAAAGTGGCCACTGTACTGTACTGGACAGTTTTAGGGACCGTATAAAGCTATGTAGACAACATAAAAAAACAAAACATCCCTGAACACTTTGGGAGGCTGAGGGGGGTGGATCACCTCCTATACCAGGAGTTTGAGACCAGCTTGTCCCACATGATGAAACCCCGCCTCCACTAAAAATACAAAAACTAGCCAGGTGTGGTGGCAGAAGCCTGTAATCCCAGCTACTTGGGAGGCTGAGGCAGGAGAATCGTTTGAACCCGGGAGGTGGAGGTTGCAGTAGCCAAGATTGTGCCATTGCACTCCAGCTTGGGTGACAAGAGCCAAACTCTGCTCAAAGAAAACCTCAAAAACAAAAAAATCCCTGGAAATTTACATTTTTAACAAGTAATTACTTTGGAGTACAGCCTTGCACGTGGATTGTTTTTACAAGGACTGTCAACCCACAGAAATATTTTCAAACCTCAGTTTTGAGAGGCCTCTCTCGAACTGTGTGTTTTAGTGAAAATCCATTTGAAAGCATTGCCTCTGACCATCTCATAGCTTTGGTCGAGGATTTTTTGAAGAATTACACATTGCTTGGTATTTGATCAATACTAAGTGAGCCTACTGAAGTCACCAGCAATCTAGAAATTAGAATTATTTTATTCCATATTTATGTTTGTAACTAAAAGATTGTTATTACTTTATTTCAAAGCTACCCTAACTTCCTGCATGTCTCCAGTTTATCTGGTGGAGCTGAACTAATCTGAGTATATTATAAACACAAGCAAGTTATTTTTTAAAATGAACCTATTTGTACTAAAAATTTATAGCTAGAAGAGTTCTCTACTAAACATATTATCCAGAAGTGTGTGGATCTTTAAAACGTTAAATTAGATGCTGGTAAAAAAAAAAATCACCTCTTACAGGTACAGCAAACACAAAATACAGTAAACAAACAAACATACAAACATATCTTTGTGCTATAATTTGTTATTCCTTCTGGGGTTGTGGGATTTCCACTGCTTTTTTTCCTTCTCTCTCTCTCTCTCTCGCTCTGTGTGTGTGTGTATGTGTGTGGTGTGTTTTCTAGTCTGTAGAGATGCAGAGTAGAATTTTAAATTAAAATATTCAGATTAACTAGTTACAATCTAACTTATCCCAGAGAGTGGAAGGAAATGGAGAAATTGTGTTGTAAATTAAAGACATTACTGCACAAGCCTCAAATGATGTTACTGGGGATTTAAATGTTTTTATCTGGATTCAGATTAAAAGTCATCAGTTTTCCCTCTCATCAACAATTTATTCATTTATCCATTATATTTTTATGGATTGATAATGCCCAACACCATACTAATTAATCCAATTTATAAGATAATCTAACTATAATCTTATTTAAGTTAGAAGGGTTTTGGCAAATGTTCACTCTGGAAAACTGGGGTGTAAGAATATGGGCGATCTCAATTTTATTTCTATGTATGTAAAAGGAAAGGCTTCATATCTAAAATAACTTTACCTACATATACAAAATTGTTTGAGAGCAACAAAAGAGAGAAAAATACAACTGTAAAAGGGCCAAGGACAGAGGGATGGGCAAATGAAGGAAAGGCAGAGAGGGTGAAAAGAGCTGGGGGAGAAAATTCTGTGGAGGGGGTTAGGAGAGGGGTGGAGCCGGCACTCTTCCCTTAAAAGCTGAGTGATAGCCCAAGGGATATATAAAAGACTGGTTGAGCCAGGTAGGGAAAGCAGCCAAAAGCCGGGGACAGGCACACAGGTCCAGGTCTGTAGGCCACAGCAGCTGCAGATCAGAGAGGCAGCAACGTCCAGACCTCCAGGAGCGACCAGGGCCAGGATGTCTCGCCTGTTCTTGTTCCACCTACTAGGAGTCTGTTTACTCCTGAATCAAATTTTCAGAGCAGTGGTGGCCAACGGGAAGGACGACGTTATTAAAGTATGCGGCCGAGAGTTGGTTCGCGCGCAGATCGACGCTTGCGGCATGAGTACCGTGGACAAAAGGGTTCTGAGCCGCCAAGATGCTCCTCCGCAACCTAAACTAGTGACAGGTGAGAGCTCCCGACCCTCCCGGCCTTCCCGCACTTCCCATTGGTTACTCTCCGGCGGCTGCCCAATCGGAACGGCGGCCCGCACGCCCGGCTCGAGATCTCATTGGCTGCCAGCGCTCAGCTCCTGCTCCGCCGCGGCTGGTTCCTAAAGTTTGGGCTTTTTCTTTGCCAGGTGATTTTATTCAAACAGTCTCCCTGGGAATCTCACCAGAGCGAGGGAAAGCACTGAGAATAGGAAGCTGCTTTATCTGAGTTCCTTGGTGCCTTTCCCACCAGGCAGCCAGAGCGACAGGGTGGAAAGGAAGGGTAAGCGTCAGAGAAGGTGGCCGGGCGGCCAGACAGCGGGTGTGCTGGTGGGGGCACCAGGACAGGGCATCCCGGATTGAGAGGAAAGGGGGTAAACACTGAGGCGGTGCGCTGGTTATCAAGGCTGTTTGGGTACCGTAGGACAGGGCAGCACTCTGAGGTCTCTGTGAGGGTTCGGTAATGGGAAGATGGGAAGGGCCTTGCACTTAATTACTCTCCTCGTCCAAAAGTTGGGCTGTGGCTTATGCCATTGGAAATGTTCTTTAAACAAAACAAAACAAATTCCAAAGGAAAGAGTCTGGCCTCCCACTTCTTTGATCTGAGTATTGAAGTTCATTTGGGATGGAAAGAAAAGGAAAGGCTTGAATGCCTACAAGAGAAACTTCAGAGGATCAGAGACAAGGGAAGCAGGCCTTCAGACCATCACAGCTGAAGACTCTATTGATGCTTTTAAGCATTTGAGAGCTGCAGTGGGTTTGCTTTAAAAGCAAGTTGAGTACAGCTCATTCTAGAATGGCTTTAAAAAATATTTTTGTGTTTATAAAGTAGCAGTGAAAACTCATGGAGGTATACGCTAGCCTGAAAAGTGTAATGGATCATATTAAATTCGGAGAAGGTAACCTCAATTTGCAACCAATAACGTGTTTTATGTTTATATGACATGTAATTTTATGATAAACCACAACTAAATTTTATAGGCTATATGCATATGCTGTATATAAATGACTCGAATGTAAATATATTTATTTTTACGAGATTTAAAGTATAGTTCTAAAGTTATTTACTTTTCTACATTGTTTGTTAGAGTTCGATTTAATGGCAATTTTTACATGTCTTTTGTATAACATTAGGACAAAAGTACCACAAAGTCTAGGAATTTTCTGATTCAAAGTAGAGAAGACCAGATTGCATTGCATTTGCTTTATTATTCCACGTTTTCTGACTATAAAAGTAGTAATGCTCATATTAAAGACAAAAAATGTACATTAATGAAGGGAGTAAAATGAGAATCACAGGTAGATATTAAAGACTTTGAAAAATATATGTGAATTTTATGAGAAAATGAAATTATATTAAACAAGTGGAAAGAAATGTTAACATTTGGATAGGTATATCTTTTGAATTTTCACTCACCATTATACTTTGAGCAGTTTCTCACATTGTTATTATCCTAAAACATAATTTAAAATTCCTGTTTAGTATTTTTGTCATAAATCTGCCACATGTACTTAAACATTCTTTGGGGGATATGTAGTTTATCTCTAAATTGTTGCTGAAAATAGTTGACTGAGCACATTTATATATAGATATTTGGCCATATTTTTATTTCCTTACAAGAGACATGAGATTTAAAAGTATTTTTAAAGAATTTTCTTTATTGCTATGCAGTATAATTAAAGTGAAAGTAATCTAAGAAAATATTGCCTGCAGGTGGGAGTAAGATAAATGTTTACCATTACTAGGTAGGAAGTACATGTGATTTGTGATTCCTGTGAGTTTTCAGACTTCTACTGTAAGGTAATTGCTATTTGCTTTCACATTATTACACTGTTAGCTAATCATTTTATCCTACAATGTGTGCCAAAGTAATATTTGCTGCGTCCCTTTTAAAAATAAGATACACTTTAAACCATAAGAGGCCTATTTTAGTAAGATTTGCATCCATAATACAGTGAATTAAGGGTATTTATATGAATTCAGACAGAATATTTTCTCTGAGCCTAGGTTCCATAGCTAAAAGTGTTATGGATTATGAAATATTTCAAAACAGGTTTAAAATATAATTTTAATAAAAGAGTACAAAACACACAGCCTATGAATCAACTTAATACTGTACAAGCTATAACTGTTTTGGTTGATTCATTTAACTGGCTTTAAGTATATAGAAAATTACCTTCAGCTTTTCTCAGCATTTGATAAGGCCCAACTACAGAAAGTTTAGGTTGGAGTAAAGAGAGGTTTTTATGAAGAAAGTAAATTGAATTAAACTTAGGATGTCTTACTGACAGAAAATACCAAAACTTCTTATTTAACCAAAAATGATATAAATTCACATCTGTCATTTCCAGTTAAGAATGTGAATGAGGGAGAGTGTTAGGAAGAAAGACAAAATGTTTTATTTTTTAATTCTTCTGCCAAACTCCAACTGTTGAAGTTTGTTGTGGGCTAAAAGGAGAACAACTGAGTCACTTGCTACAAAACTCAAGAAATGCTCTGCCCCAAAACTAGTGCTGTCTAGGTGAAGGGACATGGTTTTCTCTATCAGCAGGCATCAGTGGTTAACCAGGTGTCTGCCTCCCACACTTAGATTTACTCCTCTCATCTCTTTCTTTTCATTACGTCAAGAGTAATGCCTTGTTAATGGACAGTTTTGCTGTCCAGGAAGAAGAGCAGCAAGACCTGATCTAGGTTTAGACTATAATTTAAACACCATCAGTGTTTCTAATTTCTTTGTGAAATAAAACTCTCAAATTGTGTAATTAGGATAGTTAAGAGAGAGTTTAGCTCACTGTAAGTTTTTTGAGTGCAAGAAACATTAATAAAAAAATTATGTCTCCTAACTAGCAGTGCTAGAGACATGGAAACAGTTAATGAATGTTCAACTGAGCTGAATGGGTACAAAGATGGAGGAAGATGTCAGCTGGGTGTTCAGCAGGTTCCCAGCCCAAGTCCCAGCCTTCACATTTGGCCAGCCTGGGTTGCTTGTAAGAACAGGCACCCTTTCTAGGGGACACACAAATCTTGCTTAGTGCATGATCCGCAGCTTTGGAACAAACATCAAACAAAATATTAATCAGTACACTTACACCACAGCAGATACGAATCTCTTCTTAAACCAGTGATTTTTGGTTAGTGTTCTTTTAACCCACTTCTCTCTTTAATATAAAATACTATTGATTTGGAGTACATACTCTGGGGAAGACAAATTGTTAAATAGATAGTTGAGGAACATCAGACTTCTTTCTCCTGTTAATTAGATCAGAGGTGTTGGAAATTCTGCCTCTTTAACTTTATCCTCCAGGAGTAACTTGCCACCATGAAACACTCAATAGCTTAAAATAATACCTTTTTCAAGGCTTACTATTACAACTCATAATATCATAAATCATAGCTTAGCAATGGAAGAAAATGACTTAAGAAGAATCCAAGAAAATGAACACTAACTGTGGTCAAACTGAGTGTTTTCAATGACTTACATGACTTCAGAAAGATGACAGATTAATGTCAGAGTCAAAAGTACTGTGATAAAAGCATTGAGGGGATCATGAAGAGAGATGAGAGAGAACCAATGGGGTAGATCAGAGCCTTGGTAAAATTATGGTACTTGAAGGTGTCTAACTGTAAGAAAGCTAAGTTGTTTAGATATTACGAGGCTTGCTTATTTTGTTCCAATGTTTATATTGAGGCAATGCTTTCTTTTTTCTATGTAAACATTCATAGTTTTCCTGGATGCTCTTTGACATGAATATGACCTCACATACACTTTTTTTTTTAAATTTAACAGAAATTGTGCCATCCTTCAACAGCAAAGATACAGAAACCATAAATATGATGTCGGAATTAATTGCTAAGCCACAGGAGCTGAAGGCAGCCCCATCTGGGAGGCAGTCATTGTTACCAGAGCTACAACAACATGTACCCATATTAAAGGATTCAGATCTTAGCTCTGAAGAATTTAAGAAAATTATTCACAATAGACAAAGTGAAGCCCCACACAGCAGTCCTTCAGAGCTAAAATACTTAGGCTTGCATGCTCATTCTCGAAGAAAGAGACAATTCTCCCTGGCACTGTATGACCAATGTTGCCTAATTGGTTGTACCAAAAGAGCTCTTGCTGAATTTTGCTGAGATGAAGCTGATTGTGCACATCTCATCTAATATTCACACATATTCTTGATGACATTTTCACTGATGCTTCTGTCAGGTCCCATTAATTATTTAAATTTAAGAAATCCTTATTAATGTTTAGATTTTTCATTTGATGTATAAGAAAAGACTTCATATGATTGTACTTTCTATAAATGACACTTTTTATGCTGAAATGTCTTTTTGTCTTTATTAACAGAATGATTATGTTGTGTTATTCTTTTTAATGCTGCTAACTTAAAATTACAATAAAACTTTCACCACTTTAACCATATGTAATAACAACATAGTACCTAATACCAGTTACATAAAGCCATAACACTTGAACTTTCCTAATAGATTTTGAAATGTTTTTGTATTGAAATATTCATTGCAAACAATCAGATTGGACACTAAACCAAATTTAATTTAGTTGAGGTCATATAAATTGAAGTACTTTTTTTCTTTTTTAAAAAATTTTTTTCTAGTATTGTCTGAAGGAAACTCAAGTGCTTTTCAAGCTAGGGTTCTGTTCTCGGTTCTAGTGTCTAAGAAACTTAAAAGTAAATTATTTTTAAGGAGAAAAATGAATAGACATAATGTAAAAGAGAACAAACAAGTCGATATCATATGTTACAGAAGAAATAGTATAGGGAACATACTTTATGTTCACTTCTTTAGAATTTACAAACTATTTCTGTAAGCAAAATTACTGAAATAATATGAACACTTGTAAGAAAAGTAAATCGACATAGTTATCAACTTAGGATTTTACTGGTTTCGTGTGTTATATATGCATGCATTTTACCCAGCATTTATAGAAGAAATACAGGTGAATGACAAGTGAATCTCCTCCATCAAATGCCTGTAAACAAATTTAAGAGATGAAGACAGTAATTCCTGTATTTCAAAGTCCCATACATGACTAATAATAACCAAGTCTCTAGGATTTATTCATTCCTCACCAAGGGCACCTTGCAAAACTTCATAAATGACTGCAAAACCTCACGGATCATAGCCACCTTGGATGATGCAAGGAAGAGTGCTGTCTGATGTGGAGATTTCAACCTAGAAGAATGAGGGTAATGTCCAGCAAACATACAGCCCTTATAGGACAGAGAGGCACCTCCAGACCCAGATCCTGTTCCAGCCCATGTTTCACGTCTGTTCCTTCACAAAATCCATGGAGGCAGTCACTGAATTAGAATCCATATTGACCAGCTCTGGTGGTATGTCCACTTTTTGAGTGATTCAAAGATAACTTGTGGTTAACTGTCTACTAAGAATATGCAAATAATTACTTCAGTCTTTAAAATGTATATTTCAAGTCCTACTAAAGTCTACCTAAAACGGTCATGAGAAACTGATGATTGTAAGTTTATGTCTCAAAACATTTACTCTGTTGATACATATGTATTAGGACTGTGTTCTCTGTAAATAACAGAATACCCTACACAAGTACTTCTAAGAGGCCCATGGAGCAAATAAGCATCTACCCCTGTTTAGCCGCTGAATGGTAGCAGCAGCCTCCTCCCAACTTTCCAGTCACCTGTGCCTAGCACAGAGGCCTTCCTCCTTATGCTCCCCCCTTCATGGTGGGTCCCAAGATGGCTGCTGCTTCTCTCTTAGTCTGCATTTCAGGCAATAAAGAAAGGAGGAACAAGAGGGATTAATGCCTGAAAGAGAAAAGCAAAGGCTTTTCCAGAAACCTTCTCACTTGTGCTCATGATATATTGGCAAGAGCTGTGTCACATGGACACTGCTACCTGCAAGAGACTTTGGGAAATCATAGCTAGCATTTGTAACCTCCAGAGTTGAGATAGTCCAGGGAGAAGTTTCCAAAAAAAGACATTGGCACAGTTAAACTATAGATGCATTCATGCTCTGTTGTGTCTGTAGTGACTCTCTGAAAGACGTTCATGTTTGTCTATTGCCCTTCACTATTAGATTAACTTCAACAGCAGGTAGATCCATGGGATGCTGTGGAAAAAAGAACTTTTTGGAATCCAGTGGACATGGATAGAATTGCAGCCTCAGCACTAACCAGCTGTATGTGTGATCATATTTTTTTTTGTCTTTAAAAAGGTGTCTTTGTTTCTTTTGACAGAAAATACTTATATTTGTTTTTAAATTTATAAAATCATTTTTAAAAGTAATTTTAGGTTTACAGAAAAATATAGTAGAAAGTACAGTCAATTCCCATATGGCCCCTCACTTCACCACATAGTTTTAGGTATAAATAACACCTTGCATTAGTGTGATACTTATGCATCAATTGAACCAATATTGATATATTATTATTATTAATTAAAGCCTATAGTTTACATTAGAGTTCACTCTTTGGATTATACTGTTTAGAGTACGTTCTATGGATTTTTAAAAATTAATTGGCGTTTTAAAAGTAGTTTCAAGTTCACAGGAAATTTAAGTGGAAAATGCTGAATGTTACTCCATACTCCCCCAACTACTTCCCCTAACATCAGTCTCCATTATCTGTATGTTTGTTGCATGTGGTACCTTTCTTACAACTGATAAAGGAACCTTGACATTATTATTAATCAAAGCCCATAATTTACATTATGGTTTACTCTTTGTGTTTTGCATTCTATGGGTTTTGACAAATGTATAATGACATGTATTCTCCTTAAAGTAGTATTCAAAATAGATTTTACTGCCCTAAAATTTCCTTATGCTCCCTACTTCGTGCCTCTCTCTTCCCCAAATCCCTGGCAATCACTGATCTTTTTCCTGTCTCCATGGTTTTGACTTTCCACAACCTCATACAAGTGGAATTAGATGGGCTATAGCCTTTTCAGATTGACTTCTTTCACTTAGTAATATGCCTTTAAGGTTCCTCCATGTATTTTCCATGGCTTGTTTACTCTTTCCTTTTAGCACCAAATAATATTCCTTGTCTAAATGCACCACAGTCTATTTATTCATTCACCTACTAAAAGTCATTTTGGTTGCTTCCAAGTCTGGGCAATTATGAATAAAGCTGCCATACACATTCATGTGCAGGTATTTATGCTGAAATAAATTTTCAACTCACTTGGGTAGATACCAAGAAATATGATTGCTAAACCATATGCTAAAAATATGTTTAGTTGAAAAAATCCTGCTAAACTGTCTTCTAAAATAGCTGTATCATTTTGCTTTCCTACCAACAATGAATGAGAATTTCTGTTGCTCCACATCTTCATCAGCATTTGGTGTTGTCAGTGTTTTGGATTTTAGCCATTCTAATAGTTCTATACTGGTATCTCGTTGTTTTAATTTACAATTTGCAAATGATGTAAGATATTAAATTTTTTTTCACTTGCTTATTAGACATCAGCCTATCTTCTTTGGTAAAGTATTTCTTCAATATTTTGACCATTTTTAAATTGGGATTTTTCACATCAGAAAGCTAAAAAGATCTCAAGTTAACAATTGAACATCACAACTAAGAAAACTAAAAAACCAAGAGCAAACAAACCCCAAAAGCTAGCAGAACACAAGAAATAACCAAGATCAGAGCTTAACTGAAGGAGATAGAGACATGAAAAGCCCTTCAAAAAAATCAACAAATCCAGAAGCTGGGTTCTTGAAAAAATTATTAAAATAGATAGACCACTAGCAAGACTAATAAAGAAGAAAAGGGAGAGGATTCAAATAAACATAATCAGAAATGATAAGGGGGATATCACCACTGACTCCACAGAAATACAAATAACTATCAGAGATTACTATAAACACTTCTGTGCACATAAACTAGAAAATCTAGAAGAAATGGATAAATTGCTTGACACATACACCCCCCGAAGACTGAACCAGGAAGAAATTGAATCCACAAATAGACAAAGAGTTCTGAAATTGAGGCAGTAATAAATAGCCTACCAACCCAAAAAGCCCAGGACCAGATGGATGGTCTGATGGTACCAGCTGAAGTGTACCAGAGGTACAAAGAAGAGCTGGTACCATTTCTACTGAAACTATTCCCAAAATTGAAAAGGAGAGACTCCTCCCTAACTCATTCTATGAGGCCAGAATCATCCTGATACCAAAGCCTGGCAGAGATACAACAAAAAAGAAAACTTCAGGACACTATCCTTGATGAGCATCAATGCAAAAATCCTCAGTAAAGTACTGGCAAGCTGAATCCAGCAGCACATCAAAACCCTTATCTACCATGATCAAGTAGGCTTCATCCCTAGGATGCAAGGTTGATTCAACATAAACAAATCAATAAACATGATTCATCACATAAATAGAAATAAAGATAAAAACGACATGATTATTTCAATACATGCAGAAAAGACCTTTGATAAAATTCAACATTGACAAGCCCAATGTCATTTAGAGTTTTTTCCTATGTCATATTCTAAGAGTTTTATAATTTTGCATTTATTATGATGATGAAATACCCATACCAAAAATGTGCCATTTAAATTATATTTTAGTGTAAGTTTAGTGGCATTAAGTACCATGGCTCCAGCTGGGCCTACCAGTGCAGCCATGAACCCATGTGTGGGCACCTGAGCCCACACATCATGACCCAGCAACCCAGCACACATTATCCAGGATAAGGGCAAGGCTAAGCACAAAACAGAAGGAGCTGATGCACATGCTACCCAGAGACTGAGAGGTGACCTTCTCTAGCAGGAGAGCCACTGTGCACTTTTTTGGACCCCACTGGAGCCCAAGGATCAGACCACTTGGGGCCTGCACCAACTGGTGACAATCTACCCCACAGCAGTGGAGCCTCTTCACATTTTCCCAAGGTCCCAAGAGTGGCTTGCTCAGGCCCACTGCCACCAGTGACCCCACTATCCTAAACTGTGGAGCTGTCATGTGCCCACACATGTCCCCCTGGGGCCCAAGGACTGGCTTGTCTGGTGGTCTCCACTTCCAGTAAAGCTGTGACATAGCTTCCACAAAAACACATAGCCTAGGCCACTGAAGCACTCAAAGTCACCTCTGACGTTGATTACAGCCAATGAAATTACATGGACACTACACTACTGTGCCCACATAGCACCAAAGCCAAAGCTCTCTACCCAAATGATGCTATAGGACATGTCTATGGGAAAATGTCTATCCTTACAAAAGCTATTCCATAAAATTAGAAAAAGCATCTGTTCCAGGAGATGTGCATATATCAACATAGGACACAGTAAACATGAAAAAGCAAAGAAACATGACACTTCCAAAGGAACATAATAATTCTTCAGTAACAGATATTGAAGACAAAGAAATCAATGAAATATCTGCAAAGGAATTCAAAATAATTATCTAAAAAATTT